ATGCCTGATGAGAGGTATGAATGGACTGTTTTACCCCAAGGTATGGCCAATAGCCCAGCATTCTGCCAAAGCTATGTGAAGACCCTTTTGGGGCCTGCTCACTTGCTGCCACATGCCACTGTGTACATTTATATGGATGATATAATCTTGGGAGCTCCAAGCCCCCAACAATTAGAAGAGTTATATAAGGTTACTCAGAAATGTCTACAGACAGGCGGACTCCATGTATCCACTGATAAAATACAAACTATTGCTCCCTTTAAAGTTCTGGGAACCACACTCTCTTTGGAAGGAGTAAGCCCTTTAAAACCACAACTGGCTGTCAAGCCCACCATAACCCTGACAGAGCTACAAAAATTATTAGGAGAAATTAATTGGCTACAAGCCTGGATGCCTTTTTCCCACTGAGACTTTAAGATCATTGTTTCAGTTGCCAGTATGGAAACAGCCTTCAGAGCTAATTCACCTGGCTCCTCAACACCTGGACATCTTACATGAGGTCCAGGATGCCCTGGACTGAGCCCAACTTGCCCGGTACACGCCTAGTAAAGATCTTGAGTTATGGGTACTCTCTGGTGAGACCGTGATGACATCTTTCCTTACGCAGGACGAGAAGACCCTTCAATGTGTGCATGCCTCTCTGGGAGGTGTACCACGGGTTTATACACCCATGAATCAATTGACTGACCTGATTGAGAAAGGACATGATGTAGCTCTGAGACATTATGGCATAGACCCTCTTAAAATTGTTATCCCCTATCAGCTTAGGGATTTTGAATGGCTCTGCAGACATAATAACCGAGTGGCCATAGCCTTGGAAGGGTTCCTGGGAATTTGGACTGTCATTATGGCCCTCATAAATGGGTGGCCTCCTTTCATGCCCTCTGTTCGGATGCTCCCCGGCTCTTTGTCAGGGATCCCTTAGTGAAAGCCTACAATGTTTTCACTGATGGGGGCAGATTTGGAGCTGCAGTGGTAGTATACCCAGGGGCAGATAAGAAACCAAAAAGATATGTCCACACTTGTGATGTCTCAGCTCAGTTCAAGGAACTCATGGTCATTGCTTTAGCATTAACAAAGGTAAATTAGGCCATGAATTTGTTTTCTGACAGTGTGTATGTAGTCAATCTTCTTCCAGGGCTATTAGGTTCTCATATCCAGTTGGATGGGAACCCCATTACTCCCTTGATGATTCAGACTCGTACACTCCTTAAAGAGAGAGAAGCCCCTATATTCTTACAGCATCTTAGGGGGCTCCAAAGATTGCTTGGGCTTTTATCCCAAGGCACTGCAGAGGCAGATAAGATGGCTTCCACCCAGGTCCTGTCAGCAGGCCTGAATGAAGCTCAGGGGTTACATAACCTCACTCATATAAAGTGGTGGGGACTCCATAAGAGATTTCCTCAAGCTCCCATCAAGGACCTTAAAAAGATTGTACATACCTGTAAGTCTTGTCAACCCTTTCTACAGGTACTGCCTCTGCAACAGCCAGGGGTAAACCTCAGGTGACTCAAGCCCAATTCCTTGTGACAAACGGAAGTCACACACCATGCTCCTTTTGGAAAGCTTAAGTATATTTTTGTGTCCATTGACACATTCTCACATGCCTGTTGGGCTACCACTCATACAGGAGAGAAGTCTAAACATGCTCAGTCTCATTTTCTCAAGTGCTTTGCTATGTTGGGATTGCCCCAAAGAATTAAAACTGATAATGGACCATGTTTTGTGAGTAAAAATTTACAAGATTTCTTTTCACTTTGGGGAATTCAACACAATACAGGAATTCCCTACAATCCCCAAGGTTAAGCTATTGTAGAAGGCAACCATCGAAACCTAAAAATTCAATGACAAAAAAAGGGGGAATAAGCCCCCACCAATAGTTGGGTATGGCCTTATTCACTATTAATGTTCTTAATTTTCAAAAAACCAGTTGGAATCCCGGTTTCAGAAACATTGGAGATGACAGGAGCAGAGACCTGAGGTACAGGTAAGATGGAAGGACCCCATTACAGGACAGTGGAGAGGCCCAGATCCATTGTTAACCATGGGTTGAGGCTTTGGGTGTGTCTACCCTACAGGAGATTCAAACCCCATATGGGTGCCTGTGAAAAACCTTAAGTGGGTAGGCCAGGATCTGACTGACTAGCATACCATCTGAGGTGAAGGACCCAGTTCCTTGGCTTCATTGCCAGTCAGCTTCTTTGCCTTTTAGACAACTGGCTGATTGGCTGAAAGGTACATGGTCTCATAAGTATTTCAACTTGTCCTACACTATGACTTGCTTTGTTTCTCATGACAATGCTTGTCTTTAAGTGTCTTTACCAGATAATTCAGCAACAGAGGACCCTTGGAACTGCCACAGCCCACCTCCTTATGATTATGGACTCCCCTAGGAATATACCCCCACCGGTTGACCACGCTTGGCTAACCGAGTTAGGCAGAGACTAAGACCGTCACAGGCTGGCATTACCCATGTGGCTGCCCTTAATCATGATGTGTTTTTAGCCAAGGATGGGTAAGATGTCCCATGACAAGCACTCCTAAGACAGGACATGTACATGGCCAGGTGCATGGTCCAATGACAGGCAAGCCTTGGTCAGAGGTGACACAACCTAAGACAGGCAAAAATGCATAAGATTAGAGGAAGGAGATAGCCATCTCTCCTCAGGGAGCCATCTATGAGATGGGTAACCCGTGAAATAAAGTCAGTCTGACCTTATAAAATAAAAATAAAAGGGGGAGATGTGGGGACCTGAAGGCCCCACTTTGCAGAGGTCCAAGAGGAAGTAACTAGGGTGCGGCCTGACTTGTTTTAAAAGTCTGAACAGATACTTCCGCACTGCTGAGGAGTGCATGATCAGTGCGTGATCATCCTTAAGATACACCCTCAAGGGGGAGGGGGTTGCCAGATGCCTTTATAAGCTCTGTAATCCCTGCACTAAAATGAGTTCCTGCTTGACTAGACTCCCCATTGCACCTGAGTGTTCCTAGTACTGGGGGCAGCAAGGGCTGGTGAAGAGCGCGCTTACTCACCCCCAGTCATCATTGTGTGGGGGTCACAGGCTCGAACCCCCCACAGTCAGCTGCCTGGAATGTCTCAATTTTTCCTTTTACGGTAGGGTGCCCCTATTGGCACTGTATGCCCTTTTATGGTCAGGAATTTCAGTTGGTTTCAGCAAGGCTTATCTGGGCTTGCCTAATCTTAGCCTGCAGTATGAGGCAAAGGAGATTTACAGTTTCTAGGATCAGAGACTTAAGGCTGTCAAGATGGAGGCTGCTAAAAAATCAAGCCAGTGTGACCTGGATCCTTCAGCTAACAGAACCATGACTACTGGTTCTGTTAGTGAGGCTAGCCAGGGACTTTCCAGGTATTTTAGAAAGACTCATTTTTCCTTTTTCTGGTCTTTACTCTCTTTAGTACTTGCCTTACATTTTTCTAACTATGCAAAAATTGATTTGCATAAAAATAAGACAAATTCTTTGCTTTCCGATGGTTCTGGCATCTCTATTCTCAGGGATAAGTTTACTGGCAGATCTAAGGAAATTTCTAGATCCCAGTTCAGAAGGAAACTGGACATTTTTGGGGGGGGGTCTTTACTTTAAAACTAATTAATTTTTACCTTTTATTTTTATTGCTTTAGAATAGGTCACACAATTTGTCCATGGGGAATTGGGATGCAGATTTCTGGCTTCTTCCATGCTGAACAGGAACAGAGAATGTGGCAATTTTTATACCCCTTCGGTGAGTCTATCTAAAAGTCTCCCAATTGCATAAATTTTAACTGCAAGGAAAAAAGAAAGTCCTTGACCAAGGCCCAGAGATGTGAAGGAGAAGTAAAGGCAAAACTATTTAGCATTATACGTTCTAGACAGGGAACCAGAAAAAATCAGAACAAGGAAAATTTAAAATGTCCAAATAAAAGCCCATTAGAATTTCCTGATGAGGGCTTCCAAGAGCACGCATGTATTAGGTTCCTCCTTGTATTTCTTTTGGCAGCTAAGGCTGTACTCAAGAGTGACGAATTCAGCATTTGTTTTCAGGCACTTTGATAGATTTTAGAGTGGCTAGAATCTGTCTTCTAGATAGGGAGAGAAAATAAATTTAGCCATCATTTTAGAACAATGGTGGGTTGTCTCCCTTAGCCTCAGGTGAACACTATGGTGTTGGAGATCAAGATTTAAAGTCTTATACCAGAGCGCCATTTTCTTGTTAAGAACAAAATCACTACTGAGAAATAATTGTCTAGATAACATTTTACTTGCACTTAAGTCTAATGTCTGGGAAAGGCAATCCATTGGACTCTTAAATATACTGATCACTATAATTTTTAGTTATTTTTTCCTTTTGGGTGTTTACAACCAGGCATTTGGTAAAAATAAACTAATTTACTTTTACTTTAAGGTTGGTTGAGAATCTGGTCCACAGGGGACACATGGGCTTGGAAGGAACCCCTGGCTCCTTAGGCCTTTCACCAGTTCCATCTACATGAAGATAAGTCAAGGGGTTCTGCTTGACCAGTGCTTGGCTTGGAAGCAGGCAGGAAATGTTTCCTCTGTGTTGATCCTCCTCATTGCAGACTGGACACTGGTATGAGTCCCTCTGGTGGGGTCTCTACAAGCTCCCTGAACAGGTGACTCATCACAGTCACAGGACATATCAAGAGATTCCCATAGTTCCCTGGGACACTTTCAACCTTCTAGGGCCAAGAACAAAACTTTCCCTTAAGCCCCTTTGTCCAGATAGGCTTTCAAGTACAGCTATTAACCATCCAAGAAGGTCACTTGAGCAGCCTGTTATCTTTAATTATTGTGTAATATATAGATAAGTCTTGAACAAAACCCAAACATTCACATAAAAATTGACTGGAAGAGATTTTCCATCATAGGTTAACTAGGCACAGCCCAGGAAAGGGACCTTAAAATAAGAATTTTCCAAGTCTGTCTCAATTAGAAAACAATGTTTAAATGAAAACAGTGAAGATTAGGAGACCATAGTCACTTCAGACAGAATTTCTTGAAACTCCCAGCGTGGCAGCAATAATGTGTAGAACAAACTGGATTTGCCGAAATTCATCACAACTGGTTAATAAAACAGAAAGAATGAGAATTTCAAGAACAGTTTTAATTTTCTTGATTAAAATTCTAGTTGTGTCTTCTAATTTCATTTTTTGTACAAAGACCACACATACACAAACATGAACATACATTCATTTCTCTGGATTCTTGTTGCAAAAGCCTTTTTTTTTTCTTTTTTAATTTGGAAAAACACATCTGCCCATTGTTTCGTGAGGAGACAGTCAGCTAGAAGCTGTGCACATTTCTATTCCCAAATTCAAAACCTCTGGTCACACCTTAGAGCTCAATGGCTTTATCATTCATAGCTACAAGCTGTTCTTCCTGTCCAAGCTTGAGGCTTATGCTGGAATAACCACTAGCTTACAGAGAAGGGTGGTCTGAATCACTTCACTGGGAGGAGAGGCCAGTCCTGCACACTTCTCACCTCTGGCTTATTCCGTCCTAATGCCTAACTTTCACAACCCTGAAACCATCACAACTCTTAAAGCAAAAACACAAGAAGCTCTCTAATTTGAGGTTTCCCGTTACTCTAACCACCCCATTTGTCCTGCTATTTGCAATCACAGATGTTCTAATATACTGTGTTGTAACGTCCTAGCTAGATGGTCCTCGGTGGGCTTCAGGCAGTGCAAATATTAACTAAGTGAGAAAGACACTTCAGAATTCAGTAAGAGTAATGAAAAAAGATCACAAAAGAGGGTTGCAGATGGTTATTTGGGCTCTGTGCCTCTAAGACATGAAATCATCTTACAGATTTAAAAAGAAAACAGTTAAGTATGAATCCAGGATTAAGACTGATGCACCTTCACTCAGTGAACACTGTACTGTATCAGTTCAGAAAACTGGGACGGTGCAGATGCTCCAAGTCCCCTGCTCCTGATCTGCAGAGCTCCAGACCCAGCTCATGCCTCCTCAAAGCATTCCTTGTTTTAAAATTTTTCTGAGACAATGTCTAATGTATCCAAGGATGGCCTTGAACTGGCTATATAGCCAAGAGATGCATGGAACTCCTGATCCTCCTGCATCCAATGCTTGATTGCTGGGATTCATGGTCTGAGATGCCATCTTGAAAGATATTTTGTTCTAGCTCATTATCCATTAATGATAGAAGTCTAATTACTACAGTAATCATAGGAATCAGAGGTTGAAATTACAAGAAAGCCCTTTATCACAAATCTGACAGGTCTAATAGTTGTATATTTAGATAATATCTGCTGTAATTTATATTCATATTAAAAATAGTTATATAATGAGACCCAGCTCTCATTATATTGGGTACTCTCTTCTGGTACTTTAACTGGAGAAGGAGGTAGGTTAGAAACAGAGAAGAGAAAGAAACAAAGTTTAGATGGTATGAAAAAACAGAAATGCATTATCTTAAAAACTGACTGAAAAATACACATACACTGTCTGAACATGAGTGTATGTCTATAGCTGAAGGTATATAGCAAGAAACACAGTGTCAGAGAGGAGAAACCTCCCTTCAAGTTGTTGGTCAAGGTGTTCTAAGAGTCTCCCAACATAACACAGGCTATTTGACGGTAAAACCCTATTGCTGGTGACAGGGCATACTTCAGACACAGGATATCAAGCAGTGGAGCTGGAACTGACCTGGAAACTTCTCCAACTATCTCTCATAGTTCTGTAGGATACAATGCAAGCTGCTAAGGGAGAAAATCAATCAGTGCCCCAACCCAGCTTTAAAGCCTAATAACAATAACCAGACTGACATAACAAACTTAATTGGAGTAGTAGTAGCACTTTTTTTTTTAATTTTTAAAAATTATTTATTTAATAACAACATACTTAGAAGAAGCATATCATTACAACACAATTGACATATTCAATAACGGTTTCCTGAGGTAGGATGCATCTCTTTCAAAATTGGCTGTAATTTTTAGGTTTACAGTTGAATTATTACAGTTATACAATATTGTACTCAGTATAAACCCTATAAGACATAAATTAAATGACGTTTTAACCTTTAAAAAAGATCTCCATTTCATTATTAAAATACACAGTTTCATACAGAAAAATTCTTTTTCAGTGCAATTGACACTGGATGTTTGCATATGCATTTCTAATCTCTAAATATCTGATTATTATTAGTCACAGTTGGTTACTTTCTGAGATTCTAGGCATCTGAGCATGGATATAAAGTCATCAGGTAGATTTCAATGGTAATGTTTTTCACATCTACTAATTATTAAGAGGTAAATTTTTATGGTTTGAAGAATTATTTTTTTTTTTAATTTTTACAAATGATTTATTTAATAACAACATACTTAGAAGAAGCATATCATTACAACACAATTGACATATTCAATAACGGTTTCCTGAGGTAGGATGCATCTCTTTCAAAATTGGCTGTAAATTTTTAGGTTTACAGTTGAATTATTACAGTTATACAATATTGTACTCAGTATAAACCCTATAAGACATAAAATTAAATGAGGTTTTAAACTTTGAAAAAGATCTCCATTTCATTATTAAAATACACAGTTTCATA